TAGGAGGAGGGGAGGGGCGGCCGCCCGGTGCGCCGACCATAGGGGGCGCCAAAAGTGGTTGAAATAATTGAAAAGCTCATTTTAAGCTGCAGTTTTTAATTATAAACAAAGTTAAGAAATATGGGACGGAGAGGTATAGCGATAGAGAGCTGGACTGCTAACCCGTAAGTCTCGAGTTCGAATCCAGGTTCAAGTCAGTAGAAAGTCCCTGAGTCCACCCAGCTCTGATGGGTACCTAACTCACGTTAGGGAGAGTAAAGGCGGCTGGGCATAGTGCTGACCACACTATCTCTTCATAAGCCGAGGTCACAGAAACAAGTAAACTCTACTTCACTTGCCCCGTAGACCGTCAGGTTTGAAAGGGAAACTTTACTTACTAAAGTTAAGAAATGTAACGTCGGCATCAGTAATCAGTGTCTCTAACGTTGGAGGGACACGTACATATTCAGTTTCTAAGTTGAAATCAACACTTTTTCCAGCAACATATACGGTTTTAATTTCTGTTTCTACAAGCGATTCCGAAACATGTTCCAAATAGCACATTACTACTGGTACCGGCCTTAATTTCTCTAACGAAAAGTCCGGCACGTTTTCGAACACTTGAATTGAGCCCAAAACCTGTTGTAAAGTAAGTTGTGTTTCATCAAGGTTTAGGTACAATAACTTTGACCTCATCACAAAAGATGCGTTTGTAAAATTTGTGAGTGGACAGGTTGCTAACGAAATAGATATATTCTGCTCTGCTTGTAACTGTTCAAAATGATTATCACACAAGCGCGTCAGTGTGCAGTATCGCCGAAGCCTATTGATTGAAGACGTTTTAGCTCCCGAAATCAGGGATCCAATTTACAGTTAGCACCGGGTATTTATAGTTCTCTCAAGTTAGTCAACATTGAGAATGCCTTGCCAGGAAACACTGGGAGGCAGTGGACGGCCGTTACAGATACTTTAAATAGTGAGTAAGTAGACGGCCGTTACAGTTAGATTAATTATTTAGGTAATGGACGGCCTTTACAGATACTTTAAATAGTGAGTAAGTGGACGGCCGTTACAGTTAGATTAATTATTGAGGTAATGGACGCCTTTACAGCTAGGTTAATTATTTAGGTAATGGACGGCCTTTACAGATACTTTAAATAGTGAGTGAGTGGACGGCCGTTACAGTTAGATTAATTATTGAGGTAATGGACGCCTTTACAGCTAGGATAATTATTTAGGTAAGGGACGGCCTTTACAGATACTTTAAATAGTGAGTGAGTGGACGGCCGTTACAGTTAGATTAATTATTGAGGTAATGGACGGCCTTTACAGCTAGGTTAATTATTTAGGTAATGGACGGCCTTTACAGATGCTTTAAACAGTAAGTGGACGGCCGTTACAGTTAGATTAATTATTGAGGTAATGGGCGGCCTTTACAGCTAGATTAATTAGTGAGTAAGTGGACGGCCGTTACAGTTAGATTAATGAGTGATCTTACTACGTCGGATTTAAAATATATACTTTTAGGCACATAGGCTTTACATAAAACATCTTCAAGCAGAAAATAATTAAAACTTGTTTGTTTTTAATTGTTCTGTGATTTTTAGGTGATTTTTGTTTGTTACTTTTTTTAAAAATTGCTTTTACCTTGCCATGACCATTTAACTATTATAAACAAAATACTTTTTATAAATTTAATGTATAATAGTCTGTAAAGAAATTGTGGGACCCAAACATAATCGGGGTCTCCAGGCTACTGCTTTATTATCCATCCCCCCCCACCCTCCTTTAATCACTCACTGGCTGAGTATGTGTGTTTGTGTTTGATTGCAAGTGTGTCTGAGTGCGTTGGTGCAAGTTTGCGGTATGTATGTGTGGTTGTATTTCCTCATCAATCGGCTAGAAAAATATAAACGTCTGTACTTAATCAAACAGCGATAAGACAGGAAACTCATTTTGTTGTAAGTAAAGCTCAGTCTCTATAAGACTATAAATCTTAGTGTTTTAATTACACATGAATGCAAGTTATTTCATTTATATCACAAACTGGATTCAAAGGGAACACCTTAACATAACATTCTTTCTAAAAATAAACGGTTTATAAATTTATGCTCACTTGCTCTCTCTATATAGATTTGGATCGCAAACACATCGTAGAGTTCTGGGCAGGCTTCACTAGAAAGCTCTAATAGTGCTGAGGAAATATTTGTTTATTCGTAAACTTTTTTTAAACTGCAATTTAGGTTTTTGTGCGCGCACCCACATAGTGGCATTTTGATACATATACTTAGATTATCTAAATATCGATTAAAAATCGATTGTTAGCTTGGATCATCCATTGTGATTTGAGAGACTTTCTTTTGGATTATCCTTTTAATTTTTAAATACTGATTTGTTACTTTAAATATTACAAACATGAATTGCAACTAAGATGATGCTACGGCATATGATACACAAATCTGTTTTTTCGTTTCAGTTTTTAATAACCTAGATCCTAATTTGGATTATTTTAAAATAAAACACCGCTTCCTGAGTAAAACCCTTTTAGGTGCCTTTTAACAAACAGTTTAACCATTGAAATTAGCGCTAAATAGCTATAACTTCAAGTGCAAATTTTATTTTATTTTTGCAAAAAAATTAGACAGATGTACAGACGATAAGTACCCTAAAATTTGTGTTGAAATTACCCTGTTTTCACCATAAACTACAAATGTTATATAGGAAAATACGACTGGACAGTTGACCACTTTGTAGGTTTTTCCCGGATATTGCAAATTTTTTCTAACATCCCTAGGTGTTTTTCTACCACCTTACGAAGTATTAAGAGAGGGGTTGCGGTCGTTTCTTTTCGATATGTTGCTCATATAATTGTAACACATACCATGGTTGCATGTTAGGTGGGGAGACGTTATAATTTATTTGGTTGCGGCCCCTAGGGGACCGTACTGTTGATGTATTTTTTATTGCTCTTCCTTGAGCGCTTTAACCCATGTTCCCATGTCATGAGACCTCGGAGACTCTGGGTAGTTGTCATACCCCCCCCCCCCAAGTATATATAAAGTATGAGGGGGGTGCAAATCGAAAGTTTGAGGGGGAGGGGGTGTGCAAATCGAAAATTTGAGTGGGGGGTGTAAATCGAAAGTTTGAGGGGGGGGTGCAAATCGAAAGTTTGAATGGGGGGATGCAAATCAAAAGTCTGATGGGGGGGGGGGGGGGGGAAATCGAAAGTTTGTCCCCGGGTAAAAATTGTAAACCCCCCCCCCCCCCCCCCCTTGAGACGATCCTGGCTACGCCACTGATCTTTAGAGAAGTAATCTGTTGTTGTTTACATTTATTTTAGGGTTACATAACCACGTATGGCGTGGACATTCATGAACTAGCCATATATGGAGTTGCAATAAAGCCAGTACCTAACAACCGAAGCATCGTTTCGTTGTGTGTTATCTCTCAGGATCAGCCCTTTTAAACACTACACCTCAGTGGGTAATATCCCTATTGAGGCAGTGTTACATAAGGATAATTTCACTCGCGGTCATTTTTTAGCCCTCGTCGTGGTCTTTGAGTCTGATCCAACAGTTTTTTCAAACATTAAAATGATTAAAAACATGCAAAACATTAGACAGGTGTACAAAAGGTTAGTACCCTAAAATTTTTGTTGAAGCTACAAATACACGTAAAATACGAAGATTCAGTTCATACAACTTTCCAGATTTTTCACGGCTATGGCGAGTTTTTTCTGACACCTATAAGCGTTCTTCTAGGACCTCATGAAATATCAAAGTGGTCTGTTACGGGTGAGTTGTAGGTCAGATTAGAATAGGTTAGAATAGTCTAGAACTAGGGGAGAGTGCGTGTCTGAGTGGAGTTCACCCTACTGTGTAGTTACCCTTGCATGTTTATGTATTGTAATCCCAAGGTCGAATGCGGGTATAAAAGCGCGAGTGAACGATGGTAGGGGGTCAGTCAGCGGGTTAGTTGCTAGCGATTAAGACGAGGGCTACGCTTGAATGTATTTGAGACGGAATAAAAGTAGCCAACGAAGTCACGAAGCGTTGTTGTTTATCAGAAACCAACCCAGAACGAATCAGGGTCGTTCGGCAAAAAATTGTTGTTTGTTATATAGCTAAAATAAGGAGAATTTCACTAGTGGTCATTTTTTAGCACTCGTCGAGGGATTTGAGTCAAACCGACTCATTATTGGCATAGATTCTAGATTGAGATAAACATAGAGCTAGAATCTACTGCTGGCTTAAGTCTATTTTTCCGTAGATCTAGATCAGGGGTCTCCAAACTTTTTAGTCCGAGGGCCGCATTGACTATCAAATTTCAGTTAGGGGGCCAGTTTCTTCCGGGCATGTCTTTGATTTTTCTGGGCAAAGTTCCTCAGCCATCACCTATCAACGTTTTTTTCCGTGGACAAAAAAATCTCCGCGGGCCGGATGAGAGGACCTCGCGGGCCGCATCCGGCCCGCGGGCCGTAGTTTGGAGACCCCTGATCTAGATCTAGATAAAGTAAATTTTATTAGTTTAGGCCGAGAAAATTGTATACATTTCATAGCGTACGTCTGGATAAGTAGATCTAAATCAAATTTGAATGAAATATGTCATTTCTTTATATTTTCAAATTAGAAGATGACGTCATTAGTTTTGTGTTATTTCCGTAGTTCAAACATGTAGCATATGACGTAATTGTTTATTGCTATCTTGTCACGCCAATAAACACTTTATTTAGAAATGTGATTCCACATTCGAATATGCACATTTATTTTTATGTTCTTTCTTTAAATAACATTTATTTTATACATTTAAAACATCCACCGTAATATTTTCAACAAAAGTCTGTATCTTTAAGTTCTCCATATATCGCTGAACATACTGATCACATTGCCTTAAAAATTTGCTGACAGAGAGAGAGAGAGAGAGAAGTGCGTACATGGAATTTTATATATTAGGAATGCTATAAAAACAATATCGGGAATTTTATGTGGCTACCTGTATTTCTGTGTATACTTGCCAGACCGTCGCCATGTTGCTTTTGTGTAAAGTAACCAAAAGGATGAACGTTTAAAAACGTTATTATCAATTCAGCGATAAAGACTCCAAGCTATCGAATCAATATACTTGATTTAAGGGTTTAACCGTTATAACGGTAGGTAAGTGTCATTTTATAATAATGTGATGTATTACATAAGTAACGTTTTATTATGTTATTCAATGCGGAAGACAAAGCAGGTACTGATATTTAAGGTGTAGTTTTGGGAGATATATATATATATATATATATATATATATATATATATATATATATATATATATATATATATAATAGTATATATATATATATATATATATATATATATATATATATATATATATATATATATATATATATGTTGTGTATGTGTATATGTATGTGTATGTGTATATGTGTGTGTGTGACGCAATGCTATGAAGATTCAAATATAGGTCAAAAGTAGGCGACAGGTAGAATAATAGCCAGGAGGCGGCGTTAGCAGTGTTTATTGGAGCGTGTAGCGGACATCCGTGTGTTAGGATTGTGTTAGGAGATAGTTGGCTTGGTTTTTGAGACTGTAGAGTTAGTGTGTAGGACAGTAGAGTGAGTTAGGAGTAGGAGTTGATAACTGTGAATAAATAAACTGTAATATATATGTGAATTGGACTTGTATTAGGTATTATTCATTCCATTAAATCTGCTTTTTGCAGTTTTACCGTTGACCAGAGTTTCTTCTAGGCATCTCTTCAGGTGTGATCTACCGCCCCTCCCCCAAACGAGATGGAATTTATATAGTAAAAATATACTTTTACTAGTGTCGCCCCCCCCCTTTCCCGGATAATGTTGACCGCCCCCCCCCCCCCTCCGGAGAAAAAAGTCTGCCGTCGACTATAGTAGTACCCCCTAACCGCTATGCAGGACGGCCAATTAACAGATACCAAGTGCTCTGAAACTCTAGGCGCAAAACTGTGTAGTTAAAAGATCACACACTCTAGGGCGCCGCCCATAAGAAATGTTAATTGTATGTTTCCTAGAATCCTTCTCTTGAGTAATTTCATCAACTTTTATTTTTTTACCGTATATAAAAAAAAATTTTTAAAAATTTATATATATATATATATATATATATATATATATATATATATATATATATATATATATATATATATATATATATATATATATATATATATATATATACTAGCTGCATCCCGTGCTCCGCCACGGTAAATCTTTTTTAAATGTACCAACTTGGGAACAGAACAAAACTAAACACAACACAACACAAACGAACGCAAAAAAAAAACAACGAAAAAACAAACACAACACTCATACCAACACAAACACATCTTAAATGCAATCATAAAGGCATATTGCTCATAGTCTAGCCCGTAGCGCCAAATCACGCCCTTTCCGAGCGCCGGCGGACGCGTCTGACACAGTAAATTTGGCGTAGCGACTCCTCCCGGCGCCCGGAGACAAACTTTCGATTGCACCCCCCCCCCCCCTCAAACTTTTGATTTGCACCCCTTCCCCTCAAATTTTCAATTTCCACCCACCCCCTTAAACTTTAGCTTTGCACCCCCCACCCCCCTCCCCCAAACTTTCGATTTCCACCCCTCCCCCGCAAATTTTCAATTTGTTTTTCCAACCCATTTTGGCGCCCCCTAAGGTCAGCGCCCGCAGACATTTTCCCCTTCCCCTTGCTACGCCTCTGCTATAAAACCCCTAGCTTGTCCGCAAACCGAAAGATGGAATAATAATTAGTAAACAATACGTTCAGTGTATAAAATAAATTAAAAGCAGTATTTAGAATATCCGTGTTTTACCGACCATATTGCACTTTATAAATTCATGCATTTTTTTCAGTACTTTTTAAAATTTACAATAAAGTTTCATGACTAAAACCATTGCGCACCTAATGAACGTGATGACTTAATTTAATAATGGAGAATAGTTGATTAAAAATTATAATTAGTAAACAGTACATTCAGTGAATAAAATAAATAAAAGATAGCCTTTTATCAATCAATGCTAATAATAATATTCCAACAATAATGTACTCTTACACGTCAGCATAATTTGCATTCACATTTTGCTAATTATATTATTCCAACAATTATTCCGTCTTGCAGATTTTGCATTCACATTTTTAGCGTGAGTTCAATTTATCTTTGAATTACCTCCATTGGCAAAATTACTAAGCAGTTTAATTAGATTTTCTACCCTACTGTTATTATGTTATTAAAATGTATCCACTTTTTCTGGGAATATTAACGAAAACAATATTTGACATTGATCCTTTTAATATGTTTTAGCAATGTCCGTGTATTTAATATTCTCTTTACGTTATCCAACATTGTACAAACTGTGGAAATTATAAAATAGCTCTATGCCGTTATATAAACAAACTCTATTACTTATAATAAGACACTGCGGTACACTGAAAAGCACAGCATGGTGCGTTGTTTACTTTTATAGTCCCAAAATCTATAGCGATGACGGACAGACACAACCCGCTTATATTATAGATGTATATGTATATGTATATATATATATATTTATATATATATATATATATATATATATATATATATATATATATATATATATATATATATATATACTAGCCGTCCCGACCAGGCCCTGCTCTGGCTTCTGTGAAAAACCATTTTGTTAAAGACCATTACCTGTGTGTTTAGTAATCATCATAAACCCGGCATCGCCCACCCAAACCACAACCAACCAAAACCAAAACAACAAAACGCAAACATAACGCTAACACAATTACAAATACAAAAGAAAACAAAAACATAACAACAAACCCAACCACAACCACAAACACCAATACAAACACAAAGAAAGAACGAACAAAAAAGGAAACGAAAACATAAACCTAACAACAAACCCAACCACAAACACCAATACCAACAAAAAAAACAACAAAAAAGCAAACGAAAACAAACCAAATCCAAACGCAAAACCAACCAAAAACACAAATACAAACCCAAACAAAAAAACACAAACAAAAACGAAAAAAGAAAGAACAAAAAACGAACCAAATCAAAACGCAACCACTAACGCAAACCCACCTAAACACAAAGAAAACACTAACGCGAACATAAACGCCCGGGTCGGAATCACCTGTTTTAGCTTGATGAACGACTATAGTACCCCAACTTATTCATAGTCTTTTGCACTCACTTAAACGAACGCGCCTGTTTCAGTTTAATGAACAATTTTAATTTATCCAAGCTTATCCGTAAAATACCTACAACATTTGCACTTGATCAATCCCCGCTAATTATGTAATAATTTTTTTCCCACCACCTAAACAAAGTAATAAAAAGTAAATTATTTTCCAAGAATGCGATGGTATTAAAAAGGGAAGTAATTTGTGTTTTCCTAATTTATCAAAGGGAAGTAAATGCTATAGGAATAAATAAAGACAAAATTAGAATTTTTGTAAAAGATGATATTTTTTTAAAACTTGCGTTTACTGACCATGCCGAAAATTATTACTATAATTTGAAAAATGAAAACTATTTCCCAAAACTTTCAATATTAATTTTTTAACTCATAAATTTAGACAAATGCGCACGATAATTTTTTAACACTTAAATTTATGCAAGACCAACGACAAACGTATTACATACAGAGCTGAGCTTTATATATTACTAGCCGTCCCGGCCAGGCCCTGCTCTGGCTTCTATGAAAAACCCTTCTATTAAAGACCATCACCTGTGTGTTTAGTAATCATCATAAACCCGGCATTGCCCACCCAAACCACAACCAACCAAAACCAAAACAACAAAACGCAAACATAACGCTAACACAATTACAAATACAAACGAAAACAAAAACTTACAACAAACCAACCACAACCACAAACACCAATACGAACACAAAGAAAAAAGCAAACGAAAACAAACCAAATCCAAACACAAAACCAACCACAAACACAAACCCAAAGAAAAAAACAAACGAAAAAGCAAACGAAAACAAACCAATTACAAACGCAAAACCAACCACAAACCCAAAGAAAAAAAACACAAAAGAAAAAACAAACGAAAACAAACCAAATCCAAACGCAAAACCAACCTCAAACACAAATACAAACACAAACCCAATGAAAATAAAACACAAACGAAAACGAAAAAAGAAAGAACAAAAACGAACCAAATCAAAACGCAACCACTAACGCAAACCCAACCTAAACACAAAGAAAACACTAACGCGAATATAAACGCAAAGTGCTCACGGGGCTGAATCGCCTACTTCAACTTAATAAACGACTATAGTACCCCAACTTATTCATAGTCTTTTGCACTCACTTTAATGAACGTAGGCGCGAAACCGAACACGGGAGGCCCGGGACCCCAAAAAGCACCCTGTCTGGGCGCCAGAGGACGCACCATGACGTCACCGCCTGATTGAACTTAGTAAACGCCTATAGTGCATAACTTATTTATAGTCTTTTGAACTCACGCGAACGTAGATACCATAGCGTACACCGGAAGGCCCGGGGCGCCAAATAGCACCCTGTCGGGGTGCCGGAGGACGCCCGGATTTGATTCACTTAAAGACTATAGTAACCTTTCTTATCCATAGTCTATCGCACTGTTTAAAACAAAATTATGCAGCATAGCGCTCACATGATAGCCCAGGGTGCCAAATCAAACCGTGCAGGGGCGCCGGCGGACGCGCCTGTTTCAATTTAGTGAACAAAAATGATAATACTCCAAGCTTATCCGTAAATGGAAAGAAATAAACGTATATGATTTGTAGGACCTGGCTTATTAAATGTTATTGATTTAAAAAAAAAAATATTGAACAGTATGTTCAGTGTATAGAATAAATAAAAGGCAGTGTTAAAAATACCTAACGACATTGCACTTAATCAATCCCCGCTAATTATGTAATTATTATTTTTTTCTTAACACCAAAAACAAAGTAATAAAATGTAAATTCTTTCTTCTTAAGAATTTTTTTTTATTAAAGGGAAGTAACTGTGCAGTCAATACATTTCCGACACAATTTTAGAAATTTTATAAACGTCGATACACTTTTTAAAAATTTTATGTTGTGTTCATAATTGAAAATTATTTTTCTAAGTAAATAGAATGAAAATTGTTTTTAAAGACTTTCAATGGTAATTTTTTGACTCGTAAATTTAGACTATGAGCACGATAAAAAATCTAACACTTAAATCCGTAGAACTGTCAACGACAAACTTTTTTGCCACACGTTACAGAACTGAGCTTTATATATTAGACTAGCCGTACCGGCCAGGCCCTGCTCTGGCTTCTGTGAAAAACCTTTCTGTTAAAGACCATTACCTGTGTGTTTAGTAATCATCATAAACCCGGCATCGCAAACCAAAACCAAAACAACAAAACGCAAACATAACACTAACACAATTACAAATACAAACGAAAACAAAAACCTAACAACTAACCCAACCACAACCACAAACACCAATACGAACACAAAGAAAAAAACAAACGAAAAAGCAACGAAAACAAACCAAATACAAACGCAAAACCAACCACGAACACTAATACAAACACAAACGCAAAGAAAATAAAACACAAACGAAAACGAAAAAAGAAAGAACAAAAACGAACCAAATCAAAACGCAACCACTAACGCAAACCCAACCTAAACACAAAGAAAACACTAACGCGAACATAAACGCACAGTGCTCAGAGTCTAGCCCGGGGCGGAATCGCCTGTTTCAGCTTAATAAACGACTATAGTACCCCAACTTATTCACAGTCTTTTGCACTCACTTTAATGAACGTAGGCGCGAAACCGAACACGGGAGGCCCGGGACCCCAAATAGCACCATGTCTGGGCGCCAGAGGACGCACCATGACGTCACCGCCTGATTGAACTTAGTAAACGACTATAGTACATAACTTATTCATAGTCTTTTGAACTCACGCGAACGTATATACCATAGCGTACACCGGAAGGCCCGGGGCGCCAAATAGCACCCTGTCGGGGTGCCGGAGGACGCCCGGATTTGATTCACTTAAAGACTATAGTAACCTTTCTTACCCATAGTCTATCGCACTGTTAAAAACAAAACTATGCAGCATAGCGCTCACATGATAGCCCAGGGTGCCAAATCGAACCGTGCAAGGGCGCCGGCGGACGCGCCTGTTTCAATTTAGTGAACAAAAATGATAATACTCCAAGCTTATCCGTAAATGGAAAGAAATAAACATATAGGATTTGTAGGACCTGGCTTATTAAATGTTATTGATTTTAAAAAAAAATATTGAACAGTATGTTCAGTGTATAGAATAAATAAAAGGCAGTGTTAAAAATACCTAACGACATTGCACTTAATCAATCCCCGCTAATTATGTAATTATTATTTTTTTCTTAACACCAAAAACAAAGTAATAAAATGTAAATTCTTTCTTCTTAAGGATTTTTTTTATTAAAGGGAAGTAACTGTGCAGTCAATACATTTCCGACACAATTTTAGAAATTTTATAAACGTCGATACACTTTTTAAAAATTTTATGTCGTGTTCATAATTGAAAATTATTCTTCTAGGTAAATAGAATGAAAATTGTTTTTAAAGACTTTCAATGGTAATTTTTTGACTCGTAAATTTAGACTATGAGCACGATAAAAAATCTAACACTTAAATCCATAGAACTGTCAACGACAAACTTTTTGCCACACGTTACAGAACTGAGCTTTATATATTAGACTAGAATACCCGTCATCCGTTGGATAACTGTGGGTTTCGGGGGTCATCTATTAAAAAACATCACGTCTGTCACTCAGAGGCAGAGCGACCCTTCCCGGCGCCCGGGGACAAAGTTTTCGATTTGAACCCCCCCCCCCCCCCCCCCCGCAAGATTTCGATTTGAACCCCCCCCCCCCCCCTCAAACTTTTGATGTGCACCCCCCGCCCCCCCCACTCAAACTTTCGATTTGAACCCCCCTCAACCTTTCAATTTATTTTTCCAAACCATTTTGGCGCCCCAACATATGTCCCGCCTCGCCTCCCCTTCCCCCCCCCCCCCCCGCCTCCCCTCCCCTACCGTCCCCCCCCCCCCCCCCCCCTCCTCGCTACGCTACTGCAGTGTCACTTATCGTCACAAAAAACAGACCCCACATTCAAAAATGTTTTTTATCTTTTAAAAACACCGAAAACACCGATTTCGGACTATCCCTTCATATACTGACGTCACATGTGACCTACTCAACTCTACTTCACCTGCCCAGTGTCCCGCCAAGTCTCAGACAACATGTTTTTATCGTTTAAAAAACGATTCCAGCCGAGCATGTCTCTGACCACACTATCCTTTCATATGCTTAGGACAAAGAAACAGATGAACTCTACTTCACCTGCCCTGTATCCTGCCAAGTTCAGATAAGCAACTTTATCATTCACATCTAAAAAAAAAAAATTTAAAAAAAAATATCATTGACATATTGGTCTAGAACCTGTGCCACCCGCATGAGAGCCGACTACACTACCAACTTAGCTATTTACTCGTGACGTCACATGTGAATTTGTATACTATACTTTGAGTCTCCTTATGCAACTTGATTTACGCGCATAGATCTAGATCTAAGCCTAGTAGTAGTAACTTTCAAATTAAATTTTATCTTAAATTAGCCAAAGAAAGATTTATATAAAATAATTAAGGCCTGAAATAGATTCTAGATGTAGAATTTACATTAAGTCTAGATCTAGAATTTACATTGAGTCTAGTGACCTAGATCTAGGCTAGATCTAGATCTAGGCTAGTTTCATAACTTTCCTTCAACAGCTGATCTTTAGATCTAGAGAAATTTATTGTAAAACTAAATGAAAAAAGACAGTTTAAAATTGATATAAGTATTGGAACGTAATAAATACAGCAAACGGACGTATTGTTAAAGTTAAAGCCGACAGAAAATTAGCTTTAGAACGCGTTAAACATTGGAATGGGAACACAATCTTCTTCGATAGGCAGCCATTATCGATGTAAAAAAATAAACACATCATGTGACGTCACTGTTTCCGTTGAGTCTAGTGCCTTTAAAATCTTTTTTAAAAAATAGGGTTATTCTACGTATGAATAAATCAATAAATTAATTAACGTCTTTAAATAAATTTTTGATTAACAGTCTGTCTGCATTAAAAAATTATTCTCTACCTACATACTATTTTACAGCTCTCCAGATAGAGTAGAACATATCACAATAGTCAATCAGCCAAACAAAAAAAAAAAACAAACAAAAAACAAAAAAAAAAAAATATTCAAACATGTAAACAAACTTGAGTTTTAGTAGTATATAGATAGATAGATTTCTACATGACGTTTAGTTTAATTATAATTAAGTTATTTTGTTCTTGCTATTGTTACAGTTGTGTCTTTACAATCAAAGTCTTCACGTGAATAAGATGAAGTCCCCATCCATGTCAGTTTCTTGTATTGCAGGTCTCATTACATTCGTGTACCTCATTAATGGTATTTATTCTGTTTTGTTTTCTATGTAATGAGGTGTTAATTAATAAATAACAATCATTTTATCAACACAAGATAGAAAAAAAACTTTTTAATTAAGTTGGCCTTATTTTGTTGGAACAGTTTGACTACTTATGTACATTATTAATTTTTTATCTTTTTGTAACTATATTATGTATTGCATAGACCTAATTTTTCGGGTCTAAAATTTTCATTTGACATTCTGGCTAAGTTATTTCAATTTTTATTGTAATATTATTTTCATTGTTATTATATGTTCTCTTTTAAAAAGTTAAAAACATTTAAATGGTCACATATTATATGAGGCGTTTCGATTCCGTATATTGTTAGACGACAAACAAATGAGACTAAACGTTTAGCCTTATGTATCTAAACAAAGCCGATCTATAGAGTTTTAAAGCTACTTTTAACAAGCAGTTAATAATGCGCAGACACTATTTGAAACCTAAAACTCGGAGAGGATATGTTAGTTTTATATAATAAAATGTACTTAAATGTATACATATATTGTTACAGTACTTTTTTTAATTGTTTAAATTTTTTAAAACTTTTCGTGCTCCCAGTTGCACTAGTCCGCGCCAACCCAGTGCAAGACCAATGCAATACAGAAAAACCTTTCCCTTGTCCAGCCTACGGGATATGCTGTAGAGCAGATCAGTTTTGCTCTGATAAGAGCGGAACCTGTGAGGAATGTTTTCCTGTGAATATCTCAGAGAGAAAAGACAGACTCAAATTTTGTTATGACGAGCAACAGATGAAAAGAACAAATAGTAGGATGCGTGGTAACACTTGTGTTGGTGCTTGCACTACCGTGTTTAATATGACTGAAATAATCAACTACACCGGTAAGATTAGCTTTCATCATCATTTTAATTAAATAGTAACAGTGTTCTTTTTCATTTTAAACGGCGACTTTTTCATATTACTATTTGAAAGTTACCAAATATTATAAGGGTAATTGATATCCCTAAACCTACACATGATACACTTACTTTTATAGGAAACTTTAACTTATTCCTTCCTTCCTTTTTACTTTCTCGTATATACGAAGTATAGAGAAAGTCTTGTTTAATATTATTTTAATTTACGTTTATTTTGACTTTTTGACTTGAGTCAAAATTCTTTGAGTCACCACATTTCAAAGTAGTAAGCCTATATGTTACCGACAAATAAGAAAAAATCAGTTATTCTGTATTTACATTAGCCTGCCTATTGTCCCTTTATAGCTAATGAAATAATGCTAGAAAAAATAAACAATAAATTGTAATTTTCTTTTTTTTATATAGGTGAAGCTCCAAAGAAAACTGTGGAAGAATTAATAGCTGGTAAGTATGTGTGATGGAGAGGGGGAGGAAGTGGGGCGTGGTAGGGTCGTAGACTAATAGCCTGAGGCATCGAGTTCGGATCCACGGTTCGAGTCTTTAGGTCATACCTGAGTCCATCCAGCTGTAATGGGTACCTGACGTTAGGAAAACTAAGTAGGCTGGGCATAGTGCTGATTAAACTATCACCTTATACCTCGAGGTCATCGAAACAGATGAATTGTACTTCATCTGCCCGAAGTGTCTTGGAAAAGATTAAATATATCTTTATTAACTTGAAGCCGAAAATAAAGAAATATGTAAACCATAAGTAAATGAATGGGTTTATATAGAGTGTAGGTTTACATCTGGAAAAAATATCAAACAAAAAGGCAATAAAGGAAAAAAAAATGTCGAACACAATGTATGCATGCCTTACTTTAAAAAGAATAGTATTTTCGTACTTAGTACTTCTAAATGTGACTTTGATTTTGAATATACTTAAACTAGATATTTTAAATTTCTACTTACTGCAATTTGCAGTTAACGTTTCTAGCATTAGACTCTTGATAGCTGTCTTCTAATGTTGCAGATCACAACATCTCTATACACAAGCATTTGGAGGATCAAGGTCTCAATAGAATAGGTAGGATTTGATTTACCGAATACTCTTTTACCCGTCTTTTAGCCGAAGTAATTTAATCTATAACACTTTATCCACAAATATGTTTTTATTAACTAATTTGTCTGAGAACAAATACATTGTTGTAAATACATTAAATAGATTACTCATAAAAATGTCCTATGAACCAAAAAGAGCACAATCTTTGCCAAATAATAGGGCAACTTTGTAAGCAGTATTTTGTTTCAATTAACATAAATCTAACTTTCCAATTTTATAATGGTAGTATCTATTGATTATATCATTTATATATGTTGGACTACCTTATTTAGTTGTTTTACTGTAGACAACAGACAATGTCATCACAATTTGACAAAAGGATTATTTTACAAGGCGAAATCAAAATTTTCACAGATTTGATATTCAGAGCTTTAAAAATTACTGTGTAGATGATTATTCCTTGTAGTGTAGGCTATTTCTCGTTTCTATCCTGCCGACAATGCCTATTGTGACAGACGTGTGACGCACCTATTTAGATTACGTCAACCCTTTTCTGCAACTCCCAAATGCGACAGAGATGTGGAACCACCTGTGATGTATCGTTTTGTCCACAGCCAGGAATTTAGCTTCCACGCTGTGGACACAACAGTTGGCGATGATTTATCCAATTCATAAATTGTTGTCAGCAACATTTTTCAGGCGATGTGATCAGTATGTTCAGCGATATATTGAGTACTTAAATATACGGACTTTAGTTGAAAAGAATATAGTGGATGTTATAAATGTATAAACTAAATTTTATTTAAAGCAGGAAAATAAAAATAATGGCATATTCGAATATAGAAACACATTTCTATGCAGCCGGAAAAAGTGTTTATTGCCGTGACAGGAACGAAATAAACAATGACGTCACATGACACATGTTTAAACTAGGAAAGAACACGAAACTAATGGCGTCATCTTCCAGTTTTAGAGAGTATAAAGCACGGGTTCCCAACCTGGGGTACGCGAAGGTCTTTCTGGGGGGTCGCCAACTGGTATACTAAACCTTAGTAATTTGAAACAAAACATAAATATTTAGAAGAATTTTTTAAATTCGGCTTCATTAACATCATTGGAAATGTAATAGAGAAGAAACAAAGCGCACTGTACAAAGTTGTTCTCAGTCACGAATCGATGAAATCTTCAAAACTAAAACGTCATTTGAGACGAGTCATTCGGAACACACCAAAAAATATATGGAGTTCTTTCGTCGGTAAGAAGCTAGTTGCAAACACCAGAGACTTGATCGAACAGGAAGTTTTCACCAGCATTAGTGCAAGCATCAAATGAAGTCGCGATAGAAAATGCCAATTAAAAAAAAACAATAGGAGAAAATCTCATCAAACGCTGCATGCACGTAAATGTTAAATAACACGTTTTTATTTAAATTAAGCTTTCACCATTGTTTGCTTTTCAAGTTGATAAATCAACTGACGTGAGTTTGTGTTCGCAGTTGCTGGTCTGTGTCTATATTCATGCGGATGATAGCAAAGAAGAGTTGCTCTTTTGTGAAGATAGCATGTAGAAAATAAATACGTTTTTTGAAACTGGATGATTAAAATGGGTTAAAACTGCTGTGTGGGGCTTATACGGATGGTGCGCCATCTATGTTTAGGTCAAAATCGGGCTTTCAGAAAACAGAAAAGATTTTGCTCCCTAACCACTGCCCTAACCAATCGACATCAAGAGTCCATTGCTAGTATAAGTCGTACATTATATAAAATCTGGAGCATTCAAAGAACTAAGCAAAGACATGAATAAAGATCACGAGGTTCTGCTCTTCTACACTACAGTACGCTGGCTGTCAAACGAAATGTTGTGAATTGTGTTTTAGAATTGAAATATCTGTAATCAAATTGTTCTTGGAAGTGCAAAGGAAACAAGACTTTTTGGTATACTTATAACGACATAGAGTGGTTGGAGAGAGTATCATACCTAGCAGATGTGTTCGAGCAGCAAGATAAGCTTAACCTGAAGCTTCAGGGAAAATAAACGATTATTATAACTTTCCATGATAATCTCGGGGCATTTTTATCAAAGCTGCAAAATCAGTAATGAAAATAAATCTTGGAAATATTGTAAATTTGTGAAACTCTGCGGTCTGGTAGATGATTCTGATTGTGAGATAATAAAAATTTAGTGAATAGTATGCAATTTTACTCATGCTATTAAAACAGTTATCAAGAGTAGTTCATATTGAAAGTCTACTAGAAAATCTTATTATAGTGCTTATTAATTTCCATACTAATTTCGGCTTTTTAATTCTATGGGGGTCGCGGGTCACTTACTTTTTATAAAAGGGGGTCGCCACTCGAAAAAGGTTGGGAACCACTGGTATAAAGAAATGAACTATTTCATTCAAATTTGATTTAGATCTACGTATCAAGAAGTACGCTATGAAAAGTATACAATTTTCTCGGCCAAAGTTAGTATAAATTAAAAATAATAACCTGAATACCGTTGAACAGCCGGTTTTTTAACGGAATCATTTAAGTCGCTTAATCAGTGTGCATTTAATATGGTGATGTATTGACTAATAATGTAAATAATTTGGTTTTTCTAATAGATATTGGTAGACTATGTTATTTTTAATGTGTCGGATTTTTAGCTATTCAGTTATTTCTTTGCTTTGTAACTAATATCGTTCAATGTGTATTAAAGCACATAGCTTTTTGACCAATGGCAATTTTATAAAATATTTTTCTCAAAGAAGTATAACATTACAATATATACGCCTGTAATTCACGTTTAACGGGAACCTACCGCTAGTCTACTATAAAATTTCATCTGCCTTAAAAATATTTCATTCAAATAAAAAATGTCAATGTTGTGACATTAACCATCAATACAATAGATTACTAACCATGTCTGTTCTAGTTTATTTTTATTTATTTTTTTCAGATGAAAATCAACGTTGGATTCATAAGTTAGAGGAAAAATTAGAGATCCTTAAAGAATCCGGTATTTTGTTGTCTTTTAACATTCTTTTTATGTAGATACACGCTTTATAAAAGTTTCTTTAGTAATTCTTTTTTAAATCGACTATGGAAAAACCATTACTAAAATTTGTTTTCTATTCAGTAAATATTGTTAACCGTTTGATTTTTTTTACAGATTACACGAAATCCGTTGTTTTTGGAATAATTGGTATTCAATTTTTTACTGTTTCTATACATTAGTGCATTAAATTATTTTAACTGCATATTCAGAAACTTACAATACATCTTTCCATTTTAAATTAGAATCGTCTAACGAATTAGTAAAAAAATAATTTTCCAAGCTTTTATTTAACTCATTGTCTCTGTCGTCAGTATGTCTGTCTGTCTAGAATCAAACACCCGAGCGAAATTTCAACGTTGGCACGTAGGTCAAGACATGAAGACAATGCAACTTGACATTGAATTTGAAGTAATTTGTTGCCTAATTTTTTTTTATGAATTAATTAAAATCGTGTTCAAATTAGTAGGCTGTCTCAATAAATTATTCCGCGCTATTAGACACGCGTCATCACGTTCATTACGTGCGCATGTATTGTATTGTATTGTATTGTATTGTGTTGTGTTGTGTTGTGTTGTGTTGTGTTGTGTTGTGTTCTGTTGTGTTGTGTTGTGTTGTGTTGTGTTGTGTTGTGTTGTGTTCTGTTGTGTTGTGTTGTGTTGTGTTGTGTACTGTACTACACTGCACTGCACTGCACTGCACTGCACTGTACTGTACTGTACTGTACTGTACTGTACTGTACTGTACTGTACTGTACTGTACTGTACTGTACTGTACTGTACTGTACTTTATTGTACTGTACTGTACTGTACTGTACTATACTGTACTGTACTGTACTGTACTGTACTGCACTGTACTGCACTGCACTGCACTGCACTGCACTGCACTGCACTGTACTGTACTGTACCGTACCGTACCGTACCGTACCGTACCGTATCGTATCGTATCGTATCGTATCGTATCGTATCGTATCGTATCGTATCGTATCGTATCGTATCGTATCGTATTATTACATGGCATTGCATCGCATTGCATTGCATTGCATCGCGTTGCGTTGCGTTGCATTGCACTGCATTGCATTGCATTGCATTGCATTGCATTGCATTGCATTGCATCGCATTGCATCGCATTGCATTGCATTGCATTGCATTGCACTGTACTGCATTGCACTGCATTGAATTGCATTGCATTATATTAATTTAAAAATTCATAAAAAACGTTTTAATAACAAGCTTTTATGTAATGATGCACTAAAAAGTAGAAAATAAATTATAGACTACTATTTAAATAACTATAAAGAAAAGCGTGGGTCTCTTCTCAAATATTAGTAAGGTATCCAATAGATACTAAAGTGACCCACGCTTTTCTTTATAGTTATTTAAATAGTAGTCTATAATTTATTTTCTACTTTTTAGTGCATCATTACATAAAAGCTTGTTATTAAAACGTTTTTTATGAATTTTTTTTCAGTACTTTACATGTTTTATTTACAATAGTGTTACATGACTAAAAACCATTGCGCGCCTACTGAACATCACCTTCAGTAGGCGCGCAATGGTTTTTGAACGCAGCCATTACGTGATGGCGCAGCTTTTGAAGGTGATGACGCGTGTGGTGTGGTTGGCTAGACATGCCTACTAATTCGGTCCAAATTTTAATTAATTCATAAAAAATTAATTAGGCATCCAATTAAGTCAAATTTAGTTTCAAATTGCATTGTCTTCATGTCTTGACCCACGTGCCAACTGTGAATCGTATCGGTCAAGTAGAACTGTCCGAATTTTCACTCCTGCGTTTCCGTCAAGACAGACTGACGACAGACTGTCGACAGAGGAAGTGAGTTAAATAAAAGCTTGTAATAAAAACAAAGAATTTTTGTTTTGTTTTCTCGATACAGCCAGCCTCTCATTGCTACTTGCAATTATAGCAATCAGTGCCAGTATCTATCTATTTAGGAGGTCGACCCGGAGGAAAAAGAAGTACCAAACAGATTTAAGCGGTAGGGTTATTCTTTGAAGGGTTTTCATTTCTCAACCGCATTTACACAACTTTATATTCAGATGATTTTCTAGTCTCTATGTATTGCGGCTGTAAATGAGATGTATTTTTTCTATAAGATATATTTGTTAAAACACGTATTACAGTTTATAGCAGTTAAAATAGATAGGGAACAGTAACACAATTCGCCAAGTAAGTTTGTTAAAAAATTTTCTCATATACTGTGTAGGTCAGTATAAATAATTATTATAAATTATTTGTTTACAGAAACTAAAAACCTGATGACTAGCGCGTTCGACCTGGACGACATTAATAGTTCATTAAGCAAAACTAAACAGACCTTACTTGATGAGCTACAAACAAACCTAACTAACGAATTGAACTTGGAAGACCACAATAGTAAATTAAGCAGAACTAAAACGTTGCTGTCTAATGACTTAAACACAAAGCTAACCAATGAATTCAACCTGGAAGATGACAATAGTTCATTAAGCAAAACAAAAAAGTTGATTTCTGATGACCTAAATACAAAGCTAACCAACGAATTTAACCTAAACGACGACAATAGTTTAGTAAGCAAAGTACTGTTATCCTTTAAAGAGGAATTGAAAACTGCAGTAAATGAGTCTTCTTCACAAGTTGTAAAAGAAGAAAACTATATTAAGAACTTAGATCTGAAAGCGGAAGTGACGACCGAGAATGATAATCCTCAACCCTTACTAGACATAAAAAATGATGGTAATTTTTATTTTAAAAAGCATATTCAATTTAAATACAAATCTATTTTAATAGCTTTAATATAATTTTAATATAAAATAATGAGTTAGTCATGTTGCCTATTCATTGTTGGTGTTAATTAGGCCTACATAGTTTTCAAAGCGAATTTTAATTATTAATCTTGTTTTTGAAATCCCTGTAGGCCTTTTTTTAAACAAGCGTGAATAAGACCTTTTTCTAATGATTAAAACTGTATTTTATATATTTATCGGTTGAATTAGCAAAATAACTATACTTAATTTCGTTTTGGGAAACTTCAGAATTGTATATACCGTATTTAGTGTTATGAACAGCTGCAAATGATCTCCAAGTGAAGTTGCTATATGTAGATTTTTTTAAAGAGCTACAAGAGTCAGATTCTCTAGAAAATGAACAGTTGTGGAAAAGATTGTCCACGTGACACCACGCAAGTTTAATGCAAAAAAAAAGGATGCAACTAAAAAATTCTCTCTCTTCTGACTCTCATACTCAGGCAATAATAAAATCTATTAAGAGTGATTGAAAGTAATTAAATTAGCCAATGATGTTTTAAAAGGAAAAGCTGAAAGAAAACGTTCACAAGGATAAATGCGTAAAGTTATTCTTTGTCTTTGTGTGCAGTTTTCTTTTCTTTCAATTTGTTTATATATATATATATATATATATATATATATATATATATATATATATATATATATATATATATATATATATATAAGTAAGTAAATAAATATCTACTGTATGTTCTCAGAAATAAAGATTAGTCCGAAAGATGTGGATGTACACCCAAACGCACTTCAACGGTAAGTAGATTATTTTTTTAAAAATTATTATTCTTACATAATTTACACTTTTAATGGAGGCATACGAAAAATTGTAAACTCTTTCTTTTTTTTTAAACATCACTTGTTGCGCTTTAACAAATATGCCAAAATAAATGAAAGCATACACTAACTACATAATAGAACTGCCAACAATATTTCATCAGTTTGGTTAACTTTAGCCGAATCCACACATTTAATATGCATCGGAATCGAGATTCGTAAAACTACTAGACACCCTCAGGCATACCCCCACACCCACCTACATCACCGCCCCCCACACACACACACACAAACACTAATACACGCGCTCACACGCAAGAGATTATACACCGTTTTATGTTTAGATTTGGAAAAAAAATGACTACAAGTCATTTGACAGTTTTTTATCTATTTATTTCTATCTGTAATGTTTATTTTAAGAAGAATGTGTCATTTAATATCATTGTCTTACTCAATCTATTAATTATGCTAAACCAAACAATCCCGAGTTAGGGCCCCATCAAGATGAGACTCATTAGTTTTGAACAGCAAACTAAATTGAAAACTCCAAACTCCACTGCCCCCGTGAATGGAAATACAAAAACAAACGCAAGCGATAAACTATGGATACGATGGGCTACAATATTCGTTCACTAAATTGAATCAGGCGCGTCCACCGGTGCTATTTGGCGCCCGGGGATATCCTGTAAACACTATGGCGCTTACGTGCTTTTTAAACAGCACCCAACAATATCGATAAAGTGGTACACGACATTTGATGATTGAAACGAGCCAGGGGCCGTTCGCGGCGCCGTGCTGTAATATAATAGGGGTCCCATGAGAGCGCCAAGCTACATACATATATATATATATATATATATATATATATATATATATATATATATATATATATATATATATATATATATATATATATATACATATATATATATATATATATATATATATATATATATATATATATATATATATATATATATATATATATATATATATACATATATATATATATATATATATATATATAGGCCTTACATACACACACACACACATATATATATATATATATATATATATATATATATATATATATATATATATATATATATATATATATATATATATACATATATATTGGACCAAACCCATCTGACACAAATATATAGAATGATCGCTAACCCATATTTTAATGTTTAAATGACTAAATTATTTCTTACCTAATTGATAAATTAATTAAATGATTAATTTGCTCATTCATACGTCTATTTGTTCTTTTTTTCATATGCTCATTTGATTACTCTTTCGCCCATTCATGTAGTTATTCATCTTTTATACATTTTTAATTGATTTATTCATTTTATTGTTCAGTTATATTTTTATATTCTACAAATTCCCCACAGAACAGACAAAAGACACAAGACCAAATGATCTATGTATCGAGGCGAGTGTTAAAACGATAGTTTCATAACTTGTGGAAATGTATCAGACAAGCACCGAATAGTGCTTATTAAAATGTGTTACAACATTTGTTTTTAATTGTTAGTTTTCATTAGAATAAATTTATCTTATTTAATTTTTTTCTGGTTGAAAGAAAACATGTTTGGAAACTTGCTTTATGTTGTTTTCTATTATGATATCGGACACCAGTTTATTAATTTTGTGTAGCTCTCATGTTATATTTTTAACTAGGATTAATTGAAAATATATAATAGTTGATTTAATTCTTCATCTTTTTATTAAGTGGATATGCTCCGTAAAAAAAATCACAAAATTTCTGGTTTTTCGTCATGATGGGTTTTTTTTGCCATTTCGGATACCTTGTTCATTTTTTTACTTTCTCGTATATACGAAGTATAGAGAAAGTATTGTAATCGTGCACAAAAATCACTTGAAATAATAATTTTAACAATTTTCACCGTATTACACCTCAGTCCTGCATCACATCCGAAGTAAAGAGGACTTATTTTAATCGGGCAAAAATTATCAATTCAGATTTATCAAAATTAAGAGGTATTATGCGTAATCCAGTCTGAAAAACTGGGCTTTGCAATTCTGTCCGTATGTCTGTGTTTCTGTGTTTGTCTGTGTTTGTGTATGAGTGTAAACACGATAACTTGAGTACCGTTACAGCTAGGTTAATGAAATTTCATATATAAGTATTTTATCAAAATCGTAGATCCGTATAAACTTTTGAGCGATTTCCGATAACCGGAAGTGGTACTTTTTCTACTTTGAATTTTTCAAAAACCTATAACTTGAGTGCTATTTAAGATAGATAAATGAAATTTCACATGTAAGTAAAAGATCTAATTCTCTACCATCTGTTGAATTTTGAGTAATTTCTGTTGACCGGAAGTACTAATTTACGCTACTTCCGATTTCTCAAAAAACTAATGTAAATTTTTTAAGTATTTATAATATTGCGCGCTATTATGCACTTTTTTATTTGGCGTTCACTTGGTGTGCAATTTTTTTGTCTACGAGATTTTATTCTATTTTTAAAACTTTAAGTATTTAAAATGGATTAAAAATCATGTCTATAGCCCGAGTTCCCATCCCTGCTATTTTGTATAAGAATATTCGAGAAAGTTTAGGGGAGATCACTCCCGGTTTATTGTATTAAGAAAATTATAGCTTTAATGAGAAATGAAAATTGTATGTTTTTAAAATACCATTTTAATGAGCCTATTAATTAAAAATAATCAATTTTCCCAATCTTATAAAAATAAACAATGGGCGATTTTTACCATTGAAAATTCTTATTAAAATAGATGGGTATATCCGTTTAATATCCGTCATAAAATTGTATTTGGCATCATTGGAAATCTAGATTCCTCATTTATTTGATAATCTTAATTTCCATCATCTCGGAAACACACAAAGCTTACAATCGGCTTTGCAGTTTACACAGATATGCTATTTTCGCGACCTACTTTTCGTTACTTTTAGACGGTTTTCTCAGTTCGCAGGTTTTTTAATACTAAAACGCCTACTACTTTTTTTTATCAATTACACTATGCCCACAATATTTTCAGTAATTGTTCTTAATGCAAAAATACAAATTTTTGTCACGATGGAATTGTGATAGCTTTCATAGAAAAAATATATGATAAATAATATGCAAATTTCGAAACTTTTGAATACTAAAAAAGGTATGATATTTTAGACCTTGTGAAGTGTCTTAATATCAGCTATTTCAAAAAATTGTCGTGACAAGTTTTAATATATACTGAAATATAAACAGTTTAAATTTGATTGCTAAAAGTTCACAAATAAAAAAGGTTTAGCATTTTTTAAAGTACCGACAATTTTAAAATGATGGAGGAGGTTTATTTTCGTCTCCATGACAAGCGAAATTGTTGTCAACCCTTTTTTACTGTTTAATACTTACTTTCATGTGCCAATCATGGTAAAAGTGTTCAAAAGGCTTTAGATCTTAAAATGTAAAAAAAATAGAAAAACAAAAATAGCAGATGCACGTAATTCTCTTAAATAGTGTGTGCATTTAAATGGTGCTGTGTTAACTAATACTGTATATAAGATCTAATTGGTTTAAGTTTTTCTAATAGGTATTGGTAGCCTATGTTATTTTAAATATGACGGATTTTAGCTATTTAATTGTTTCTTTGCTTTGTTACTAATAGCGTTTAACGTGTAGTAAAGAAAATTGCGTTTTGAACAATAACTATTTTATAAATTATTTTTTCTAAACAAGTATAACATTAAAAGGCTTCTAATATATAGACCTACAGTGCACGTAAAATGGAAACCCATGGCTCGTTTACGTTACAAAAAGACACTCCTTATTAGAACCATATTCATAAATGAAACACTCTTATTAAGAAAAAGTTCATTGGTTACATATATAATGGATAATTATTATATTTATAAAGAAAGTAAGTTCTTACATATAATATTTTACTTTTTACTGTCTTTCTCGTACTTACACTTTCCGTGCATGGGTACAAACTGGCAAGTGAATTTTTACCACTTCTAACAGACCGATTCGTTTCAAACTTGGTACGTGGGTCAAGACACAATAACATTGCAACGGAACATCACATTCGACTGAAATTGATATTAAATTAATTTTTAAAGAACAAATAAGTGTCCTATTTAAAGTACTATTTTCCGAACTATTTTTACTAAAATTTAAGAAGCGAGTCACGCTTTTCTTTATAGTTATTCAAAAAGTAGTGCATCAGTATATATCTAAAATCATTATTTTCTCTTTTTGAGTGCATAATTATATAAAATTCATTTTTACAAGCTACTATTTAACGTGCTATATATGTTTGTCGCTAATTTCAACCATTTTTAACTAACCTATTTCTTTCAAATCTATCACATAAATCAAGATCTGATGCCAATGCAATATGACATCAAATTTGATCTAATTGGATGTATTAATTAATTTTAAAGAATTAATTACCGTTTTCTTTATAAATTTCTAATTAATTGTCAGTGCTATTATTTGTATTCATTTGGTGTGCAATTACTTTTACTCATGCAATTCTATTTATTAAAAATTTCGAAAAAGGCCTATTGAAAAAAACTGTAATAAAAGCGTTTTAATAACAAGCTTCTACATAATAAAACACTAAAACGTCGGAAGAAATTATTTTCTTTCAAAAAAAAAATAATAATGTAGGCCTACTCCTATTTAAATAACTATAATGCAAAGCGTGGGTCACTATATTATCTATTAATTACCTTAAGTAGAATTTAAATAGCTGTCTACTTTTTAGCGATTTATTCGAGAAAAGTTTGTTTATAAAAAAAATTCTTACCAATTAACTTTTTTTGTTGTCATGCTACAGTTTTAATGAAATATGGTTTATTATTTTATATCGATAAGCAAATTTTTATTCCTTTTAATTTGTATGCACACGTATGCGTTTTCTCCACATAATCGGCAAAATGTTTTCATTTTAAGTTTGTATTCAAATATAATATCTATAATGTAATTTAATGTGTTTGTTTACTTTTATAAATATTTCTAGCTGCAAAGCCTGTCGGATCACAGGCATAAATTGGTTTTTAATCTTATTTGTTGTTAGATGACCCTGATGTTTAGGTAAAGTCCTAAGGATAAAGTTTCATGGAAACAACATAGAATGAAAAATGAACAAATATTTCTGTCTTTCTGTCTTTCTGTCTTTCTGTCTTTCTGTCTTTCTGTCTTTCTGTCTTTCTGTCTTTCTGTCTTTCTGTCTTTCTGTCTTTCTGTCTTTCTGTCTTTCTGTCTTTCTGTCTTTCTGTCTTTCTGTCTTTCTGTCTTTCTGTCTTTCTGTCTTTCTGTCTTTCTGTCTTTCTGTCTTTCTGTCTTTCTGTCTTTCTGTCTTTCTGTCTTTCTGTCTTTCTGTCTTTCTGTCTTTCTGTCTTTCTGTCTTTCTGTCTTTCTGTCTTTCTGTCTTTCTGTCTTTCTGTCTTTCTGTCTTTCTGTCTTTCTGTCTTTCTGTCTTTCTGTCTTTCTGTCTTTCTGTCTTTCTGTCTTTTTGTCTTTCCGTCTTTCTGTCTTTCTTTTTTTCTGTCTTTCTGGGAAGTTGTTAAGAATACTCCTGGGGAGGTTTCTGCGAAAATAAAAAAAATCAAATTCGCCGGGCGCGTATTGTTTTTTCACTATATGCGGTATATAAAAATAAAAGTCGATTGCGATTTCAAACCGTTCATCCGATCGCCATCAAACTTTGGGGAATTATTTAGAACGCTAATTTCGCAAGGGCAGCACCCTGGGTGGGTGTTATTTTTCTCTATATACACCATATACAAAATAAAAGTAGGATGCCTTTCGACACCGTTCATGCGAGTGCCATGAAACTTCTGGGGTGCAAATGAGAATACTCCTGATAAGGTTGCTGCGGGGGAAAAAAATCAAATTCGCAAGGGTGGCGACCAGTAGGGCGCGATTTGTTTTTTATCTATATAAGGTATATAAAAATAAAAGTCGATTGCGGTTTGACATCGTTCATCCGATCGCAAAACAACTTTGGAGTGTTGATTAAATTATTCCAGGGGAGGTTTTTCTCTATATACGGTATATAAAATAAATAAAAGTCTCATGCGGTTCGACACCGTTCATCCTAGTGCAATGAAATTTGGGAATTGATGAGAATACTACCAAGAAGGTTTTTGGGGTAAAGAATTTAATTTCGCACGGCTGGCCCCCTGCATGATGCGATTTGGCGCCCGGTCCTTTCCCGTGAGCACTGTGGCGCCTAAGTTCGTTTTAAATAGTGAGCTAGACTTCGGATAAAATGGGGCATTATAGTCGTTCAATATATTGAATCAGGCATGTCTGCCGGATATTAGTTTAAGTATATATTTGGTATATGAATTTTATTTCGTTCAAGTGGAGGGGAAGGGGGCAGTAACGTGATTTGTTGGGGCATATATTATCCAACCCGGATATATGCATGAAAGAAAGCAGAGGGTCAAGATGAAAATCCGACATTTCAACAAAGGCTGTCATTGACGACGCAATCGTCATCAGTACACAATGTGGACGGACAAGTCAGACCGAAAAAAAAACCACAAAAGTTAATGTGTCTAATAAATTTCTTTTATTATTAATTTTTCAACCGGGTATTCAAATAATTTAAAACAACTAGCCGTCCCGGCCAGGCCCTGCTCTGGCTTCTGTGAAAAACATTTCTGTTAAAGACCATTACCTGTGTGTTTAGTAATCATCATAAACCCGGCATTGCTTACCCAAACCACAACCAACCAAAACCAAAACAACAAAACGCAAACATGACGCTAACACAATTACAAATACAAACGAAAAAAAAAACCTAACAACAAACCCAACCATAACCACAAACACCAATACAAACACAAAGAAAAAATCAAACGAAAAAGCAAACGAAAACAAAAACCTAACAACAAACCCAACCACAACCACAACACCAATACGAACACAAAGAAAAAATCAAACAAAAAAGCAAACGAAAACAAACCAAATCCAAACGCAAAACCAACCACAAACACAAATACAAACCCAAAGAAAAAAACACAA